AGAATCCTGTTTTTTAAAAGAACATTGTAGTATCAATTTGTAAAATACCATATTAAATACTAAGCTAATTTATACGCTAGTACTGCCACTGTGGAGGTGGTGAATCTTTATAGGGTAGACTGTTGTAGGTTCAAATGCTAAAGACTAAGGTTTGTGAGGAAAAATGAGGCAGATCCCTGCGCGATAGAATGCCACGGGAGTGCTCCATAGACTGTGTGTGTACGGAGTACACTGACTAAAATTTTGAGTCGAGAGGGTACTCCGTAGTGTGGATGTGGAATGCTGTTGGCGCAGTGATTTTCTCTAATGGCATAATGGTCTAAGCCCCTTTAAGAAGTCTTTCTTGGCGCGCCATTTTGAATCCGAGTGTCATGGATGATAATCTCACGGTCAGGACCACAACCTCCGAGTTCCCTGGCCCACGTAGAGTATCACATCTGTCATTTGAGAATTTAAATTAATTTCACCATCACTGATCCTTTGGACTAATACAACATCAAACAAATCTAAGAGAGGCATGTAAACTTTAAACACTAGAGAACATCTAATTAATTCCGGTATGTAATGCTAGGGTGAATCATATATCGAACTGAAGATCCAAATTAATTCGTTCATGTGGCACCCCAATCTAAAGAGTTTCACCTGACATTGCTAGCATTCAAAAAGATCCCGGGATTGGTTTACCAGTATTTGAAATTTAAAAGCCTCTCTTAGAATTCATAGATGTTGTTCTAGGGATGATCGAATTGAATTATAAGTGCTCTCTCCAGTAGATGTGACTAAGGGGGTAAAGGGAGTTCGGAGGTTATGTGTGTTGTATTTTGCTCTGGGGACATGAAATAGCACTCGGTTTGAAAATGGCGTGCCAAGCAGATCCTTTCCTAACAGAGCTTAGATCACTGTGTCAACAGTCTTCCATGTGTGGGGCTGGGTGAGAACGGGGCGTAAATCTACTCCGTCGATTTCAAAGCAATCCCCTCTTGTTTTCCAGAAAATTCCGCGTAACTCGAGACAAAACCGAAATTTTGGAGCAACAGATGAATTGAACCAGGTAGTTTCAGACCAAAGAGTAAACGTGCGCACTGATGAATCCTAAATTATCGTGGGAAATTTCGGGAATTTCGGGAGAAAATTTAGACAGTTGTGGGAGGGAACGGATGAGGTTAGATATATATCTATTTCGAGGGCTAAATAGACCGTGGTCACTTTTGTCGGCAACTCCTGTTTCATTTGCTTACAACACTGAGATATCTTAAAGACAGGAAAGATGCAATTAAAAAAAAAAATTACGGATATACACTATGCATTGTGAAACCAATTCTCTTGAAATAATCTTGGAATGTATGAATCTCACCAGGGGATCCATGGTGCTGACACATCCAAACCACAAGAATCAGCAAAGTTGCACGCGGCTTGGCATGGGACCAATTGGGCTAGTTATGCAAAATGGTGAGAATGAGTTGAAGGACCGACTCCCCCCGGGCAAGATGGAAATTCAAAAGCAAGATGAGAGGGCAGAGTCGGTCATGTATCCACTAGAGATCTAGATACTGCCATTCGTGGGGTCGAACCATGAATTGAGAGGAGTGTGTATATTGAATGAGCTATGTACTGTCGCCAATTTGCGAGTCAAGGGCACTCCGATTTCTAGGTACGCCAAAGCAAGTCACGATTGGCAAATACCCCACCAGATTCGTTTTGCCCGCACTCTGTCTGTTGGTCAATGGAAGACGGTGTATACTTAATGTCGAATCCATATAGGGAAACTGCTCTATTAAGTAGGGGACATATATGGTTTACCCTGGTGATCAACCCCGACATAATTGGGTAGCCTCCCTCACTGCAGCCTCCGCGAGAGAGCGATACTCGGCGCAATCCTTCAAAAGTCCATCAATCCCTTCATTGGGTGTATCAAGAACCAAGGATGATACAAACGTTTCCACTTGCATGATAAGTCGGATGTGATATATGCGCGAAGTGTCTCGTGGATTCTGGACGATGGCCGAGGAGAGTGTTTTGGATGCAAGTATAGGGTAGTAAATCATCATCCTAGTGTACGTTAGCCACAGAACAAGGACGCAAAAGAACAGACGTGTTCCAATTTGGGTCATCACGTACCCTATGAGGGCGATATTAGATTTGGGAATGTATTTCATCAAGTTTATCGACGCCGTTGCAGCTGTGGTGCACAGTGATTCCGACATGGACACCACTGGGTGGGGTACATTGTAGACGTTGTTTCTTTCGACTAAATCCATAGCTAGCCTTGACCCCCGGGCCGCTGGGACCCGATGAATAGCGATCAGACAGCTGAAGTATGAGAAATGCAGAAAAAGGAGAGTCGCAGATATTGTCGAGGATTTTGGAAAAGCGGAAAATCTTTTGGATTCGGGCTGAAACTCGGTGGGAATGCTATCTTTCCACAGTTGGAGCTTTTCGTTTAACATCGCAACCGCGGCGGCCACTTCAACAAGCGGGCGATCTGCTGCTGCGACAGAGTAGAGGTGTTTGTAAATTTGGCTCCTGATTAGGGCAAGTTCACACATTGATCTGAAGACGTTGAAAGTCCTTCGTTGATCTGTTGTTGACACGGTTCCCATGTTATCCGGTGGAACTTCCGTTGGTAACAAGACATCCATGTCGTCGTCGCGTTGCGCTAGTGGAATACCAACCCGAAGAGATATTCTATGGTACGTCAGTATAGGTTAAAACTGCTATCATTATAGAGTTTCTTACTCTTTGTCAAGGCAGTAAGCAATCCAAAAGATCCGCCTCCGATGTTCTAGTTCTTCAGCACGTAATCCAGACCCACTTTCACATCGTTCAAGTCGAATTTGATGACATAGTCGCATAGCGGAGGAAATTAAATACCCGCAAGGCTGGCTGCTCAATGTCCCCAACAGAAAGAAGATCTAAGAAAAAAAATGCACCGTTAGTTACATCTTCTCTCATAATAATTTTTCGTCTTACCATCCCGATGAGCGCCTGCACAGTCCATAGATCTGGTAACCCAAAGCAGAGTTCATTCAAAACTCCCAAGGCGTTCTTCATAAACATCCAGCTCTTCTGACGATCAGTCTGTACAAGGGAGCTGTTCTTTATGCGCAGCATATACCCCAATGCTAAAACAACATTGAGGCTCGCCCAACGACCGGGGATATTCAATATGCCCTGTAAGTTGTCGTCCTCGCAAAGTGACAATAATGATGACGGTTGAAATATAGGGATCAGGGAGTTGATTTGTTGCAAATAGTCATTGACCAACGAAAGTTTCTCATCTTTCGATGGTAATGGGGAGAAAGGTTTGTCGGGGAATAAACCTTCCAGCGGGCTTCGATTCGATCCTTGGTGGCGACCTAGTGAAAGGAAGGACTGTAAGTTGTCAACGGACGCCCCTTCCGATTTATGAGTTATCCATTCCGTTCCTTCTGAGGATAGGGCTGAGAAGCCTATAGGTATTAATCAGCTTTTATCGGCCATGAGATCGACCAAGGGTTCTCACCAGGGTTCGGTGTACCCGTAAAACATCTTGGAACGTAGAAGCAGGTCAGATCCGCCGGTACTACTGGATCAAATTCATCCAAGGCTGAGTCGACCAGCGAATGATACACCTTCTGTGTAGCAGCAGAGGGGTCTTGTTCAGCGACCAGGTGTCTTGGTTTTGGATTCCAAACACCCGTCTGGTGTATCAAATGCGTATTTTCAGCCGGACTCGACGATGGGGATTCATCTGACTGCTCAAGACCCTCGATTAAAGATGACCCGTTCACCACTTCCCCCAGGTCAAATCCGATCTTTTGAAAATGAGCTTCCATACGCTGGATATTCATTTCCAGGCGATCGATCATATTCAGGCTGTTCGAATGTTATTCACTACTGACAAATTACAATATCGGGTGGTGTCGTACTTCTTCAACTGTCTTTGCCGCCTATGATCAACCAGAGAACAAGGAATATTGGCTTTGCTGCAGAACGAGCATTTCGACTTGGTGGTAACCTCGCATTTTATTTTCCTGTGGCGACAAGTGTCGCATGCCTAACAATATCGTTAGTATATGACTTAACGTCTGTCTGTGGAGTTCAACCTTTCTTTTCCGCTGTCTCTTCTTTACATGTCCGTGTTCTGGCCTTGGCAGATGGGAAACTTGTTGGCGTAATGTAGAGTCGCCGTAAGCTTGGCTATTGAGCACTCCGTTCATGTTTGGATGTTCACGCGTCGTAACAATTAGATGTATGTTGTAAGGTATTTTCTGAGATTAGAGCCAAGCGAGCGTTGAAATTCTTGGTGTGGATTCGCCCCCCCCCCAAAAACCATCCACAGTTGGTAAGGCTAAAGAGAGATACTCCATCCGAGACACTAGAATGGAGAAAAAAAAAGGGACCAGCCCAAGGTGGGATAACTGCATAAGATTTTGTGGCAACTTGTGGCAGTTTGTGGCAAAGTGTGCCTAGGTAGAATATTTCCCCAGATATGGGCTCTGACGTTTGTGGGCGAGTAAATTCGGGATTACTTGGCTCCGGTACCCCGACAGTAGGTATCTTAGTACGGAGTACTCCGTAGATCAGTACAACACACTTCACCATGTACGGAGTATCTTATATGTATTCCGGCCAAAGATGGGGTTCAAGTCCTCCGTCCACGGTCTTTGGGATCCATTACCGACCAGACTACCTTGGGTTATGTCTTGGATCTAGTCTGACCAATGGTGATTTTCCAACCCTCGGTGAGTTTTCAGAGCCGTTTAGGTTTAGGTTTTGCATGAACGTTGAGTGGAGCGGATGCCGGATGTTCTTTAATCGGTAAATACCGTGTATTGAGACGTGTTGATCCGATATGCCAAGACTCGGTACCTAACCCGATTAGTCCATTTGAGTCACTTTCAACTTCCAAGGATTTGCAACTTTCCTTCTAGACCTTGAGAATTGTTTTCCTTGGGAGACCAACAAATTCAACTGATTGGGTTACCATTACCAAGGAAGCTCCATTCCCCCGTTTCGGGTTCCGGAAGCAGGAGAGCAAACCTTAATAACCAGGACACAATCCTCGCTAACGGAGTTAATTATCCACGGTCAAACCCATTTCGGCACTCCGGAGGTTCTTATATCACAGATATTCACAGATATTCACAGATATTCACAAAATATGATTACCCCTAACGTGGCCGGATCCGCCGGGATCCTAAAGGAACTTTTGGATTCTGCCAATATTTTATTTTTGGATTTAGAGATAAACTTATATATGCCGAGCCCCCAGACTGCTTGTGGTCGACTGGCATCGACTCTGTGATATAGTTTTGGGTTGATAGATTTTTCAGCCTCCTTTCAATCTCAACTTCATCCGGTTTCCTCTCACGTGAGAATCTAGGATTTGAAAGGTTGATTTTGAAACCAAGATGTCGCTCTTGGGGACAATCAACCCAAATCCTGCTCGGTCCCAGTCCGTGGTCAGCCACAATACCCCGCAGCTCCCGGGTGACCATGAGCTCGACGCGATCAATGATCCAGAAAAGGACGACGATGAAGACACGGTGCAGGAGGATGATGAAAATAAAGAAGCGCTGGTTGGTCAACTAGCGCGACGACTCACCCGGCAATCTACTCGATTCTCAGTGAACGGTGCATTGGACAATCCCTTCACTAATGGAGACTCCGAATCCTCGATCAATCCCAGTAGCCCCAACTTCAAAGTCCGGGACTGGATGAAGATGTTGCTAGCTATCCGGTCTCGCGATCCTGACAGGTACCCTGATCGGACCGCTGGCATTTCGTTCAAGAATTTGAACGTCCACGGATTCGGTTCTCCTACGGATTATCAGAAAGACGTGCTGAACACTCTTCTGGAGATTGGCACTATGTTCCGCCAACTGACCGGCATGAAACTTCAGAAAATTCAGATTCTTCGCAACTTCGATGGTCTTGTCAAAAGCGGAGAAACATTGGTGGTCTTGGGAAAGCCCGGTAGTGGATGTTCGACTTTACTCAAGACCATTGCCGGTGAAATGAATGGCATTGAAACGTCCGAAGACTCGGTTCTCAACTATCAAGGTAAGTGCTCTTGCTACACCATGACCTAACTTGAACTTGTTGCAGAGGTTCTGACATATGCCAATGACTCCAGGTATCTCTGCAAAGGACATGCAAAATGCCTTTAAAGGCGAGGCAATCTACTCAGCAGAGACCGATGTCCACTTCCCTCAACTCTCCGTCGGCGACACCCTCATGTTCGCTGCGTTGGCTAGAGCCCCCCGAAACCGCCTTGAGGGGGTCTCAACCGAGCAGTACGCCAGACACATGAGAGATGTGGTCATGGCTATGCTTGGCCTTTCCCATACAGTCAACACCCGAGTTGGAAATGACTTCGTTCGCGGAGTGAGTGGAGGTGAGAGGAAACGAGTTAGTATTGCAGAGGCCACTCTCAGTCAGAGTCCCTTGCAGTGCTGGGATAACAGTACGAGAGGTCTGGATAGTGCCAACGCACTTGAATTTTGCAAAAACCTGGCCCTCATGAGCAAATATTCCGGAACAACTGCTTGTGTCGCTATCTACCAAGCGTCACAGAGTGCTTATGACGTCTTCGACAAGGTGACCGTCCTTTATGAAGGAAGGCAGATCTTCTTCGGGCCAACCACCGAGGCTAGGAAGTACTTTGAAGATCTGGGCTATGAGTGCCCAGATCGTCAAACCACGGCAGATTTCTTAACGTCGGTCACTAGCCCTTCGGAACGTGTGGTTCGGCGTGGGTTTGAAGGCCGTGCTCCTATCACTCCTGATGATTTTGCTGAAGCCTGGAAGAAAAGCACCGCCCGTGCTAAGCTTCTCGGTGAAATAGAGGAGTATGAGAAAAACTACCCTATCAAAGGTAGCTCCTACGATGCATTTGTGGATGCGCGTAGGGCTGCCCAAGCTAAGAGCCAGAGGGTCAAATCGCCATACACCATTTCGGTTCGGAAACAGATTTCTCTCTGTGTCACCCGTGGCTTCCAGCGTCTCCGTGGAGATTACAGCTTGACAGCAACAGCTTTAATTGGAAACTTCATTATGTCTTTGATCGTTGGTTCAGTCTTTGTGAATCTTCCAAATGACACCTCCAGCTTCTACTCTCGGGGAGCTCTTCTGTTTTTTGCCGTTCTCCTGAATGCCTTCTCTAGTGCATTGGAAATCCTTACCCTGTACGCCCAGAGACCAATTGTTGAAAAGCACGCTCGTTACGCCTTCCACCACCCTTTCGCGGAGGCACTTGCATCGATGCTCTGCGACGTTCCATACAAGATCGCCAACTCATTTACCTTTAATATACCATTGTACTTTATGACCCACCTACGTCGTGAAGGCGGGCCGTTCTTTACCTTCTGGATATTCTCGGTCCTCACTACGTTCACTATGTCAATGATTTTCAGAACCATTGCGGCATCTTCCCGCTCGCTCTCACAAGCCTTGGTTCCTGCTGCTGTTTTGATCCTGGGCATGGTCATCTATACCGGTTTTGTTATCCCCACTCGAAACATGCTCGGGTGGTCTCGCTGGATGAACTACATCGATCCCGTTGCCTACGCGTTTGAAAGTTTCATGGTCAATGAATTCCGCAATCGTCACTTCCCATGCGCTGCTATTGTTCCTTCTGGCGGTGCATACGACAGTATCTCAATGGAAAACCGCATCTGCTCGACTGTCGGTGCTCAATCAGGCTCTAGCGATGTGTCTGGAACACTGTATCTCGAAGAGAGTTACGGGTACATGACGAAACACTTGTGGAGAAACTTTGGAATCCTCATCGCCTTCTTGTTGTTTTTCATGTCCACCTATCTTTTTGCCACTGAGTACATCTCCGAGAAGAAGTCCAAAGGTGAGGTACTTCTGTTCCGCCGTGGTTATCAGCCGGCACATGCCGCCGGAGAAGGTGATTTGGAAAAATCTTCCCAACCCTCTGCAGTTGCCAAGACAGACGAGTCTACTCCCAGTACTACCGCCATTCAGCGACAAACTGCGATTTTCCAATGGGAGGATGTGTGCTACGACATCAAGATCAAAGGAGAACCCAGGAGGATCTTGGATCACGTTAATGGATGGGTGAAGCCTGGCACCTGCACTGCATTGATGGGTGTCTCTGGAGCCGGAAAAACTACCTTGCTTGATGTGCTTGCAACTCGAGTCACGATGGGTGTCGTCACCGGTCAAATGCTCGTCGACGGAAACCCCACAGATCAATCGTTCCAGCGAAAAACTGGCTACGTCCAACAGCAAGACTTGCACTTGTCTACGTCGACAGTTCGGGAAGCCCTCGTGTTTAGTGCCTTGTTACGTCAACCCGCCACGGTCAGCCGACAAGAAAAGATAGCCTATGCCGACGAAGTCATCAAACTCTTGGGTATGGAGGCGTACGCTGACGCCGTTGTTGGTGTTCCCGGAGAGGGATTGAACGTTGAACAACGAAAGAGATTGACGATTGGTGTGGAGCTTGCCGCGAAACCTCAACTCCTGCTCTTCCTTGATGAACCTACCAGTGGCCTGGATTCACAGACTTCTTGGTCCATTCTTGACCTTATCGAAACGCTCACTAAGCACGGACAAGCCATTCTTTGCACTATCCATCAACCTTCTGCTATGTTGTTCCAGCGATTCGACCGCCTTCTCTTTTTGGCTAGAGGTGGTAGGACGATCTACTTTGGTGAAATCGGCGAAAACTCATCTACTCTATCGAACTATTTCGAGCGCAACGGAGCCCACCATCTGACCCCCGGAGAAAACCCCGCTGAATGGATGTTGGACGTTATTGGCGCAGCCCCAGGTACACACAGTGACATTGATTGGCCAAAGGTATGGCGGGAGAGTCCCGAATTTGGGCAGGTCAAGGACCACCTCTCCGAGCTGAAGTCCACCCTATCTTCAAAGGCGGCCGTTGATACTTCGCCTAACGCATTCCGTGAATTCGCCGCACCTTTCCACGTTCAACTGTTGGAGTGTCTCAAACGTGTCTTTGCGCAGTACTACCGCACCCCGACTTACATCTGGTCGAAAGCTGCCCTTTGTATCCTCACCTCGCTCTACATTGGATTCTCATTTTTCCACGCCCAGAATTCCATCCAAGGCCTCCAGAACCAGATGTTCAGTGTTTTCATGTTGATGACAATCTTTGGTAACCTAGTACAGCAGATCATGCCCAACTTTGTAACCCAACGTTCTCTTTACGAGGTGCGGGAGCGTCCATCCAAGACATACAGTTGGAAGGCGTTTATGATCTCGAACATTTTGGTTGAAATGCCTTGGAACACATTGATGGCTGCGTTGATGTACTTCTGTTGGTATTATCCAATTGGGTTGTACAAGAATGCAGAGCCCACTCACGCCGTGAGCGAGCGAGGCGCTCTCATGTTCCTGTTGATCTGGTCATTCTTGTTATTCACCTCGACCTTCGCACACATGGTGATTGCAGGAATCGAGCTGGCTGAAACTGGTGGTAATATCGCGACTTTGCTGTTCTCCCTCTGCTTGATTTTCTGTGGTGTTCTCGCAACCAAGGAGGCCATGCCTGGCTTTTGGGTCTTTATGTACCGCGTTTCGCCGTTCACCTACTTGATCTCGGCAATGCTCTCGACGGGTGTTTCGGGCGCTGATGCAGTCTGTGAGGCTGTCGAGTATTTGAAGTTCAACCCCCCAGCCAACCAAACTTGTGGAGACTACATGAGCGCTTACATCAAGGTGGCCGGCGGGTATCTGCAAAATCCCATGGCTACTACCGACTGCGCGTTCTGCACCGTCAGCACAACGAATATGTTCCTCAGCCGAATCTCCAGCACTTTCTCTGAGGCTTGGCGGAACTTCGGTCTGATGTGGGTTTACATTATTTTCAATATTGCCGGCGCGCTGTTCATCTACTGGCTCGCCCGCGTGCCCAAGGGGAAATAGACCAGAGCCAGTGCCTAAGGGGGCTGTCGATACACCCTCTGGTCTTCTAGAGTATCTTTACTCTGCAGTTTTTCGATAGAAGCGTCTCTTGTTTCCCTGGAAACTGTCACTTCTTCTGTTCCCCTTCACAGGATCAATTTGATTCGCGAATTATTCCCCCC